CACACACACACACACACACACACACACACACACACACACACACACACACACTTTGTAATGACAAAGACAAAACTCATTTTAAAAAACCGGGTTCTGTTATGCTAAACATTATATCCATATCAAATGTACCTATAGTAAAACCACGACGTCCCATCTGAAAAGTAAAAATAAATTAAACAAGAAATGAAAACAGTGTAGCACCTCCATCCAACATCCAAACGTAAGTGATGTGTACCATTGCATCTTCCTTCTCTCTCTCTCTCTCTCTCTCTCTCTCTCTCTCTCTCTCTCCCTCTCTCTCTCTCTCTCTGCTACTTTACTTTATTTTTAGACCTGGCTAAAGAGGTATGTCTTCAAAACAACACAGAGACCTTATAATGGGAAAGCTATTCAAATGTGCTAAGCCCAGAAAGCAACAATTGTCAGAAGAGATAAAACACGACTTGTTTCATTCTTTTAACTACTGTAACCTACATTGTGTGTTTTTTCTTGCCTTTCTTCAACATTAAGAGTTTTAATTTCGATAAAAATACTTCCAGAGCAGAAACAATCAATACCAGAAATTAAGAAATTGCAATTTAAAAAATCTAAATTCTGGGCGTGGTACACCTAAACAACTGGACAAAGTTATGGCGTTTCTTGTGCGCCATGATTTTTTTCCTAAATCAATACAAATTTTGTTCAGAAAATAAACGTAAGACACTATTTTCACAGAGTTGTTGACTTACGTCCTTTCCTCAGGCTCTGAGCTCCTGCCTTCCACTGCGGCCTCAGTTTGGTGGTGCCGGAAGTCGTAGTGCTCAGCGGCGCATGCGCGGCAGAGTCCACGGAGGATTGTGGCCCAGCAACATCGCTGGTGGACGCTTTCCGATCTGCGACAAGTACAAAGGCACCACTTTTATCTATCGTTCATCCCCTTGAGGAGATTTGGATTGCAATGTGAGTTTTACTCAGTATAGTTTTAGTAAAGAGATGCACATTGACACAGTGACGCAAATGATACACGTCAAAATTGGGCAAAATATTGTACTGCCGCAAGTGCCCTGTTCACGTCATAAAATTTGCCGCAAATGGAATTCTCCAGAATGACCTACTAGAACCACCGTACAATTATCCATTTACAATGGTATGTTACGCATAAATGCATACAATTATTATCAAGTCATAAAAAAGTGGCAATCCGGAATGAAAGAGTTAAGTTACAGGTACATGTATGGCATGCAGAGACATAACCAGAAACTTTTACAGTACTTTGTAATGAAACTGATGTAAATGAATATCGCTCTTTCTCTCTCTCTCTCTCTCTCTCTCTCTCTCTCTCTCTCTCTCTCTCTCTCTCTCTCTCTC